GTGGGTTGCACCCTCCTGCAGCCAGTTTTGGGCAGATCATGTTATTGCACCCTTCCCAAGTTTCAGCTTGTTCCTAGAGGATGTTTGCCACATCACTGTAAGTACCATCCAACACCTCTCTTAGGCAAGAGCTGGATCCTGGATCCTGAGATCCTAAGAATAAGTATTGGGAAATCAATATTCCATTTCCATTCATAAAGAGAGACACCTGTTTTTCTAATCAGAAGAAAGAATTTAGTCAAAACTGATGCACACCATCTGAGAAACTGTTTATCGATTTGTGGTGGTGAGACATTCTCTCTTGGTGCCCTGAGAGATGAATGGGACAGTCTGAGACCCTACTCTCACCTATGGAATAGGATCTCACTGAAGTAGGTTTGTTATGTCTATGACAGAATCTGACCACAAACCAAAGTGCAAACATGAAGGTCTTACTACTCTGCTCACTATATTGATCCTTCTCAGTTACCTATGAATCTGGTGTGGGAATGGTTTAACACCCTATACTTCGGCCGTCAAACCAAAATTCTTATGGTTCTAAACAGCTGATCCCATACTGTTATTATTTTATAGCAAACTTTCCTTGCCAGGCTCAGAGGATGAGCAAAGAGGGAAAAATGGTCATCAGCACGATTTCTACACTTTAATATGTTTCGCATGATACCAGTAATCAACTTTTCCCTGGCTTGCTACATTTGTCATCAAAACATCCTGTACAAGGAGTTTTACATTTTCTTGATTGTTTAAAATAAGCTAACAGGAATTTAAGATGTTGGGTGGTGGTTTAGAAAGATTATAAAAACATCAGTGTCAGCACTAGAGACTTCCAGAGGCACAACCCAACTCAATCCCACTGCCGTCAAGATTATTCCAACCATAACAACCTTATAGGACAGAGTACAACTGTCCCATAGGGTTTTCAAGGCTGTAAATCTTTACAGTTGTCCCATCTTTCTCCCAAAGGGTGGCTGGTGGATTCCAACTACCAACCTTTCAGTTAGTAGCCAAGCACTTTAACCACTATACCATCAGGGCTTTTTCCAGAGGCATGTCTAGGTTATGGCAGGTCTAGCACACACCTGGGCTCCTTGGAGAGGGGCACCAATGAGCAGTTTCTACTCTTTAGCGAAGTCTCCATCACCAACTGTGAGAGATCAGTCAGCCATTTAGAACCAATCACCATAGGCCTTATTTTCTGAAGATATGCCTCTGGGTACAAGTCGCACAAATTGTTCAAGGGTGAAGCAACAATTATGCCTAAGTGATGAGTGGGTTTAGAGAGTTTGTGAGGAAGGGAGGGAGTTGAGAAAAAATGATCTTCTCAACTCTGGAACTGGAAAGGCAAACGCTCTCAGAAGCACATTTCAGTTCAAACAGGAAAACTTCAAAATCGGTACCACTGCTGCTGAAGCAACTGACATCATGTGCGGGAGCCTGCCATCAAGACAGCACACATTCACAACAGCGTTAGGAAAAGGTAAATTGCACATGGTAATCATACGCTAAATTCATAAAACCAAAAAAATGCCATTGTTTCACCTGACATGCTTAAATCATTATTATGCAAAATAAGGATTTTTTTAAAAAATTTAATTAGTAGGAATTAAAAGTGAATGATCAGGTCTGATGGTTCTAAGGCTGTGTGTGTGTGTGTGTGTGTGCGCGCACACTTCTCAAATACTGTGATTGATGCTGTGGAAGGAGATCCGTGTAAAGTAATCATGTGGGAAGGACATCTTGTGTTTTTAATTGGAGCCATGCTAGAAGTTGTGGGAGAACATCTCTTTCAACGACTTGCAGAACTACAAAAGCTAAAAAAGAAAAACAGAACTCCTCTCCCAAAAATGCCAGTTGAAGACATTCTATATAGAAATAGAAGGATAAACAAATCAACCAGCCAACCAACCAAGTAACCAACCTTTCCCAAAAGAGGCAAAAAGCAGTCTCTACAATGTGTCTCAAAGTCCCATTTTCCATGGTGTTGGCAGCCTTTTTGCTTTTGTGGCCAATTGTAGCTCTGAGCTGGCTCAGCTCATTGTTTCTAACTCTTGAGGCCCCCCATGTTTGTGTTTCTAAGTCTTGACTCCTTGCAAATTAGATAGGAACTCTAATAGTGATATAAGCAGAGACACAGAATTGTGCAGTTTAAAATCTGTTGTGCAATACCATGGCCAGCTTTCAAGCTGCTAGGACAGAAATTTACAATACCATGCCGACTGTGCCCTCTCTTGTGGCTGTGGGCTCTCACTGTCTAAGATGCAGTCCAATTGGTTTTAAGGAGATAATATAAATCCATCCATAGCTCATACAGAAGAACAAATGTAGCATCAAAATCTTTTTTGAGTATTTACAAGAACCTGGGGACCAAGATGGATTCCGACCGTCAGCAGAGGACTGAGAAACAGGATCCAAAGGAAGCTTTAGTTGTGCCTTCACTGTCCAAGGCACAAATGAGTGCATCTTGGATTACAGAGAGGGCCAAGCAGGCAAGAATGAATGAATCAGCATTTGACAGGATGATGAAATGAGACTCTATCTCACTTTCAACCGAAACTTCTGAAACCTAGAGCTAAACAACAGTAGTTAAGTAACCTCACATTCCAAAGCAATGTCTGGATCACTTTTTCAAGATTTGCAAAAGTGTGTACAAAGTCCAGTTTTGCAAACCATTGTCTCATCAAAAGAGTTAGGAGACAAAGAATTTCAACGTGAGAAAATTTCCAAATGTCTTGGGGTTGTCTTCTGTCTTAGGGAGCTGCTTTACCCTTGTTTTAAGCCTGCGAAGAGGGAGCTTCCAGAGACCAACTTGAAGAACTGGACATGTGCTATTTGGGGTTTTGGAAGCATAAGAACTGGTATGATACTCTGTGACCATGGATAAGGTTTAAGGAAGCAGAGAGACAGTGAAAGAGTGGGAGTAAGAGAAAGAGAGTGAGAGGGTGCTAAGTGTATTTGCTGAAAAGGCAGAGCAAAGATGCATGAGTGTTTCTTCAATATCAAGGATGATATTGCCTCTATCAAGGGAGGTGTAGAGAGAGGGCCCAAGTGAGATATCTTTAAAAAAATCCCACAGGGGCACCCTAAAAAGGAATTAGCATTCTATGCCCAGAAAGCACATCTCTGGATTACACCTGTGCCAAATAAGTAAGACCTTGTCTTTAATATCTCCTTTCTTCTCAAGTCAATGCAGAAGGAGGTGGAAGAAGTGTAGCAAAGCAAGATGAAGAAATAGGAAAGAAGTCCTCCATGTCCTCTCCCATATTTCCAGCTTCTGAGTCTGAGGCAGGCCGAGCTGGTGGGAAGGAATGGCTCACATTGTTATGATATAGGACTGGGCAGTTTTACTGTTGAAATGATACTCTTCTTATTATCTGAAAGTGATTTTAAAGTTAAGGGATGTGCCCAAGATTTTATTCAAGAGGTAGGGAAGCAATAATCCATAGAGGGATTTGAAAAGATAGAAAAAAGGAGAAAATTGTTTTCTGCTATCACCTTATCAGTTTGTTGTTGTTGTTAGGTGCTATCAAGTAGGACCCGACTCATAGTGACTCCTCCTTGGGTTTCTGAGGCAGTATCACTATGGAAGTAGATTGTCCAGTCTTCATTCCAAGGAGTAGCTGGTGGGTTTGAACCACCAGCTTTCTGGTTAGCAGTCAAGTGCCTTGGGCATTACACTACTGTTAAGCCTATTTAATTAAATAATAATAAGAATAAGAATAACCTCACTGCCTTCAAGTCGGACCTGACTCATAGCAACCCCTCCTTGGGTTTCCGAGGTGGTATCACTACAGAAGTAGATCACCCAACCTTCCTTCCGAGGAGTGGCTGGTGGGTTTGAATTGCCAGCCTTCTGGTTAGCAGTCAATTGCCTTAGGCACTATGCTACTAGAGTTCCTTTATTTAATTATTGGTCAAAACCAAATTGTTTCCACTACTGGAGGGGGGGAGTTACTCAAAGACAGGCCTTCCAGTATGCATGGAATAAACTAATGGAGGAAGCTCATTCATTAGGTTTGCACATTAAATTAACTTGATTTAAGACTGCCTCAACTGAAAGAGGTTTTCTACCTCCTTTGCTGAAATTTCCCGCAGGAAGTCGTGATCTGTCAGAGAAGGCACGTGCTCTCCGTCCTGCTCTTCCTATTGGTGCTGACCAGTGATCCTAGTGTTTTTGGTGTTGCTTTTTACAATTGATTTTTGTTGAGAATACACAGAGGAGAACATACACAATTCAATAATTGTTACATATGCAATTTCATGACACTGATTGCATTCTTTGAGTTGTGCAACCATTCTCACCCTCCTTCTCCAAATTATTCCTCCCCATTAACATAAACTCACTGTTCCCTAAGTTTCTATCTAATCTTGATGTTGTCAGATTGGTCCCATATAAATAGATCTGAAAAGAACACAAGGTTCAAGGAAGACATTCTATTCTAGTTTTGAAGTGTCCATATAGACAATGTTTTGTTTTTTAAAAAACACTCATGTTGTATGCCCTACTGTTGTGTTCCCATAAGATTTCCATTGGCTAATTTTCAGAAGTCTATCAGCAGGTCTTTCTTCTTGAAATGTTCTGGAGCCCTGACGATGGCTTGCTGACTTTGGACGTCACCATGAAAGACCCATTGCAAGGAAAGGACGTCATATTTGGTAAAGTGAAGGGCTGGCGAAGATAAGGGAAGCCTTTGTGGAGATGGATTGACACAATAAAAACAATAGACTCAGACACACCAACAATTGGGAAGATGGAGCAGCATCAGCCAGCTTCATCCTGTTGTCCATAAGGTAGCCGTGAGTCTGAGCCAACTAAGAGGCAACTAACTGCAGCAATACTATTATGATTGCCACCTACGTGGGCTGAGTGATGCTGAACACATAATTTCATCTCCTCGTGACACAGCTTTCTCATGCAAAATAACACTGTCAATGCAATTAAAGGCCCAAGGAGAAATTTTAAAAATTGAAAGCTACAAAAATCAGAGCACCAGCATAAGTACCTCATGGAAATGACATCCACATTTCCCCTGCAGGAACTCTTTGTACCGTCCCATTGTTACAGTGAAGGTATCAACCACTTCATAGCCATACTTCTTTGCAGCATCCAGAATAATCAAATTCTCCTTCCCTAAGTTCTGCACTTCACTCTGTATTGTAAAGCCAAAGAAGGAAGACTTTTATTAACAGAGGATTGTTTTATGACTTAATTTAGGAAGACGTATAAATATCAGGTCTTTTAGAAAGACTGGTCATATTGTGAGATAATTAATTTCACACAAATTTCTTAAAGATGTGTTCTAACTTTTTTTTTTTTTACTCAAAATGGAAACATAAATATATATGTATATATAAAACAGCAACATATAAATATGTTTAGTGACATACAGTTTTGAGCATTTCCTTTGATTAA